CCGCTCGCAGCACTGCCGTCCGCCCCGTGGCCTCCGGTGCGGAGGAGAACGGGTCCGTACTGTCCCAGCAGCCGGCTGTGAGCCCGCTGCTAGCCCTGCTAGCCCCCTTCCCCGGCGGGGCTGTGGGGCGGTTGGGGGCGGATATGGTCGCCGGGAGCGGGTCCGCTCTCCGGGGGGCTCTGGCTAGCAGAGAGGAAGTGCGTGCTTCAGAGGCTACAGAACTCTGACTTCGTCTACTTTGTTTGTTTGTTTTTAGCGAAGAAAAATAAGTCTGAGTTGCAACAGAGTGATTTTTCTGCTGGCTTTCGGATTTGTCTGTTATTAAATAACGTAGACAAACGCTAACAATTGTGTTGGTTGGTCCGCTCTCCGGGGGGCTCTGGCTAGCAGAGAGGAAGTGCGTGCTTCAGAGGCTACAGAACTCTGACTTCGTCTACTTTGTTTGTTTGTTTTTAGCGAAGAAAAATAAGTCTGAGTTGCAACAGAGTGATTTTTCTGCTGGCTTTCGGATTTGTCTGTTATTAAATAACGTAGACAAACGCTAACAATTGTGTTGGTTGCATTGGAATCAGAGGAAGTTTGAAGTTCTGTTTCCCATGATGAACATACCGAATGCGGCCCTGGTTGGAGTGTACGTGTTGATTGTGAATTAATTCACAGTAGTGATGGACTTGATCATGACTTGCTGCATGTGTAAATTAAAAAATATTTATTGTGCGATCAAAGTAGAGACAATAGACTTAAGGAGTCATGTCCTATCGAATTGGAATGGAATCTGTTTATTTACTGTTAATTTGCATTGGTGCAAAAATATTAGATGTACTAATCAGGTCTTCTCAGTGTACTCTTCTGTTACTTACAAGTATAAAGGAAATTTTTTTGTGGATATGACATGGAAATTAACTTCTATTCTATAGAATGATCTGTGTTGGTTGCTTACTCATTGTTATGTTAAACCAACCTTGGGACAATCTACTGAGCTTAACTAAAGAGTTTAAATCTTATTGAGAGTGAGTGGATCTATTTCTTCATCAGAGTTATTTGTAAAAGATACCTATGACTGTCTAATTTACAGTAAGTTCAAGCATTGTGGGATTAGAGAGTTTACAAATAGGATATAGTTAGAGCTGGGAGAGTGGATTTTTCTTTCAATCATCAGGTTCCTGGAATAATTAAAAGTAAAAATACAAGAGACAAGGTGAAGCTCACATTTCAGAGGTCTAGATATTGAGCCAGAATTCCAACAAAAACACTCTGTGGGGAAAATTTAACTTAGGTATATGCCTTAGGTATATATCAGGTAGTTGCCTGATAGGAAACTAGCAAGGAGAGGGGGGAAAAAAGCAGCAGATGCTTCTGGTCAATACTGATCAATTCTGATCTCTTGTGTGTGTTTGTGATGTGGTTTTCTTTCTTTTTGCACCTGCAATAAGGGATCAGTAGCACTTTTGTGCTCAGAATCAGTGTACCAGGACTGCTGTTTCTCTGTTTGTCAAAAGCCTTTCTGTTGTAATTTTTTCAGCAAATTAGTGTCTTGCTGGAATGCAAATCTAGGTCCTATCTGTTTTGTTTTCTGAGTATCTGTGCTCTTCTAGCTTGAAGAGACCAATAGGCCTATTTTTTTCTCAGATTTTCCAAAGCAAGCTTTTGATCTCTTCTTTTTCTTACATTTCTTCATCAGTGTTATTTATTGGCATTAAAAAAAAAAAAATCCCAGTAGTCTGTCTCTGAAACAACAGTTGTACTCTCTGTTCTGTTCCAACTACAGAAGAGTCCTCATCCCTGAATGGAGTGTTAGTTGTTACCGTAATGTGAGTGGTATGATAAGTAGTAGTTAGTGTTGTGTAATTTTTGTGGTGGTGTTGGCCAGGTGCTCTTTTTGTGTGTTGTATGAGACCACCTTCCAAATAGCAATGAAATTACTGTCCGCATGGGGTGGCAAAGTGTTTGCATCCCTAGCGTGCAATTAAAGACACTGAGTTAGCAGAAGATAACTCAGGGTTGCCCAGAAGTGTGTTGACAAACCTGTGGTCTAGACTATGAGTTTGCTTGCTCTGTCTGTGGTGCTTATTGCCACTGCTGTTGTTTCTTAGAGCTAGTCAGGTTGGAAAGGGTAAGGGAAAAGAAGGAAGCATTGTGGTTTCCTAGTAGCTATCTTGTATGTGTGACTGCCTTTGAAAGTTAAAGACAGAACAAGTATGTCCTTGGTTTTGTAAACTCTTTTTTGAAATGTAGATTTTTTGTGTGTTGTGCAAGTGCATAGGTCTACAGAGGTGTCCTGGTTTGGCTGGGATAGGATCACAGCCCAGCCATGCTGGGCAGGCCATTAGCAGTTTCAAGCCAGCCAGGGCAGCTGACCTGAGTTAGCTGCAGGTGTAGCCCATCCCGTAATGTCATGGTCAGTATAAAGGGGGAAGGTTTGCTGAGGAAGGGGAGCTCCTTTGGGGTTCCTGCTGGGGTTCCTCCTGCGCCTCCTCTGGCTTCTCCCTGCTCCTGAGGACTGCTCTCCTGTCAGTTGTGATGACTGGATGCTCATTTGGCTGAGTATAACTGTATATCTCTGTTGGTGTTTCATTAAATCTGTTTCACTTCCACCTATGGGTCTGCTCTCTTTATTTCTGATTACCTTCCCTGGCTGGTGAGGGGTTGTTGGGTGATAGAGCAACTGTTACAGTTTAGTTCCAGGTACAGGCTAAATGTAGGCAACAGGTCAAAACAATTTGTGAGGGTACTGTGTTTCATGTTGGTCTGCTACCTATTAGTTCTAGTTTGTGTCATTCTGATGCTGCTTGCTGTGCTTTTACTGGGTCTTTCTTCAGATTAGTCTTTAAAAGCTATATTTGTGGAAGGCACATAGAAGAGTATCTCTAGAAAGTAGCTTTATTGTAGAATTGCTAGGTGTTTAGAATGGGTTCTGCTATGTTAGCAGGAAGGTTTTCCAACTTTGAAAGCCTCTACTAATGTAATACACTCCTAATAACTGACCTGTGCAGAAAGCTTTGTTATCCTTTATTTGGGGAAGGAGACAAGGAGGATGGTGGGAGAGTGTCATAAAAATAATGTTTCAGACAACCAATGAGAAATATACCTTACAAAAAAGAAATTCAAGAGTAAGTTACTGTTTTCTGTTTCTTATCAGGTGCTAGTAATGTAAAGCCATTGGATGGTGTGAAAATTCTTGATTTAACAAGGTTTGTGTTTTGTCTGTAATTTGTAACAGTCTGTCTAGATGCAGATATTCTGATAGGAAAAACTAAGAAAACAATCTTTTTTTTAATATTACAGGGTGCTTGCAGGGCCTTTTGCCACAATGAATTTGGGAGATTTAGGGGCTGAAGTTATCAAAGTGGAAAGACCAGGTGAGATTTTTATTTATCTATTTTAGGTATAATAATGTGGAGTAGTTTAACAAATAGTTGCTTATGTATTTTAAGTAAGACATGACTGAGAATGCAAGACTGAAAACTTTGGAAAATATTTAGAAAGACAATACTATGTTTATTTGGTGATGGTGCAGTTTTGGTGACAGTGTTTGTGTGGTGGTGTGCTAAGGAATAATAAATTCTGTAGCTATTTGTATTTCTCTGAACCAGCAGTTTTCAAGTTTTGGGACCATTTTACATCCTATTTCTGGCATGGGAGAGAACTAGTTATTAGTAGGTTTGCTTATACACGTGCGAGCTGTTTGCTTTAAGCTTAACACTGTGCAATGTATATATTTTTTATTGGAATTAAGTCTATGTATTTAGAAAAGGTTGTGAGAAGGTTGAAGTTGTAAGGTCATGTAACTTTTTCAGATATTAATGTACAAAACAGCACTGAGTTATCACTTAATAAAGTGCCTTATTCCATTACTCAAAACTAAATTGATTTTGTTTGAATTGTTTGGACTTTGCTTAGGCTTTAGATTAGGCTCATGAATGCTTAGATGTATGGTGGTTTGTGGTTTTTTTTTTTAGTGTGATGAGAGGGTTAAAACAGGGTTTTAAGTGTAGTGTTTGAAATGCAAAACTTGACAAACATACGAATCCTTCCAGCAATTAGTTCATAAGAGTTATGGAAAAGCTGTGTTTTCCCATTTGGGAATTCAGAATCTTCTGTTCCCTCTGAGCCAAAACATCTTAGATAATTTAAAATAGGAATACGTCTTGCTACTTGAGATTAGAATACTGTTAAAATGACAGGCAGTTAAATTTTGGAAGCAAACTCCACCTATTTTTACTTTTAGTATTACACGGATGAAATGTGATATAAGCATTTAAAATATATATATTGTTTATTAGCCCTGTTTTTGTGTAATAGTATACAGATCTAGGGTGGTTGGCCAGCTTTTTGACTAGTAAGAGAATAAGGTGACTTGGCATACTGTATCAACTTTCTCCTGAGAATGATTTTAATATACCAGTACAGTTTCAGGTTGTTAATTAAAATTACCTTGTCAAAGGAATAGCTACACTTTTTAGTTTGTAAGACTATAGAAGAAGAATTAACAAATTGCATAGCATTCTGTTTTTTTTAAGAAATATTCCCTGCAATTTGTTTTCACTTTTATGCATCATTATGAATTTGAGGCATGTAATTATGCCATAGCAGCTGCACATTATATGATGTATTTTTTCCTTCTTCAAGTTTCCATGTTTTAAGTTTCTCTCTTTCAGTATTATTAGTTTTGAAAAGAGCTGGTGAAGAAAATTACACACTTGAGATAATAAAATATATTATGTTCCCTATATTTTATTTTAAATAGGAAATATTGAATGTTTGAATACTTAAGAAAACATTGAATGTCTAGCAAAAATTTTGTCCCATCATCCTATGGGTCATCCTTAATCACTCACCATTGTTTAACGTTTTCACTTTGACAGGGCAGAAGCTATGTTGACTTTGTACTATCAGATGAGACTGGCAGTGGTATTACTCCAAGTATATAGGTACTAGGAATGGAGCAATGTCAGTGATTAAGTATGAAGTAACCGTTTTGGTAGATTTGCATTCCAGCTCTTAGAGTTTTGGTTTGTGATTGAAGGAGAAGGACAGCCTGAGAATTCTGAATTTCAAACATTTAAGAATGTGAGTAACCTGCTCTTCCTGTGAGAGGATGTCTGCTTCCGCAGGAGTATTAATCCATAAAGGATAGTGCTCCATGCTAGCCTCCTATGTGGAAAGTATCCCTGAAATGTTTTGTTTTGAATGGTGTGAAGTGGTAACGTACAGAAGAGGTTTTTTCCCTCCAAGCTTCCCACTTGAATCAACATAGTTCTTTGAGATACCAAACAGTACAAGTGTTGATGAGTAGTTTATATGTTTGTGTAACTTTTACCACAGTTGATCTTAAATGGCTGTAGATGGTGTGTTACCATAGTGTATGGCATAATTATGACAGTGGTTATATTGTGTAAGACCAAAGGTCCTCCAGCTTGTTTCTGTATCTATGCTAGTATCAAAGTGTCTTCTGTGTTGGCTCACTAAGGAAAGTTTTCACTCACATGAACTTAACAAGTAGATAAAGTCTAGATACTGAAATAGATATAGGAATGTGCATGCTTGCTAGGTGAAGCTTAGGTGGTTTAAATGTGATGTTGGAGGAAAACTTCTTATTCTTTTATTTGACAGTGTGATGTTGGACAACTATGAAAATGATGATATTTCTTTCAGGAGCTGGTGATGATACAAGAGCCTGGGGTCCACCTTTTGCTGGAACAGAAAGTGTTTATTTTCTCAGTGTCAATAGAAATAAAAAGGTAAATGGAGTGCGGCATTGAACATTAGCCCATTTTTTTGTAGTTACAACTGAAGACATAATACTTTTTTATTTGATTCTTAACATATATAATGGAGCAATAGTTACATTGGCCTGAAGTTACGATGAATAAACTTTAGGAGAAAAACAAAGAGTTCTTTTGAACAAAAAAGGCTGCAAATGTCTGGTGTGGTGCTGTGGTCAGCTGAGGCAAACTCAAAAACCCAAGAGTGACCCTCCTAGTCCTCAGCTGCTGGTGCAGATTGACTGAAAATGAACCCTGCTGAAAGTAAGGGTTATTTTGTTTGAACGATTTTTTTTCAGGTGCATCAGCTCAGCTGACCTGTGTCAGCTGGAGCTGGAGGAGAGCAGGCATCATACCATAGTTAGGTTGGCTAAAGTTAGCTTGTGAAACTTCAAGATTAAGATGAAGTTTCATGAGATGCCTGTGCTGTTTAATGGCTTGTTGTTATTGAAATGAATGTTTCTGGTGTCCCTGTGTGTACTTGCAGTAGTAGGTGCTGTGCAAACACACGGTGAACAGACTGCAGTACAGCTCCCAGCTGTACATCTGTCAGACCTGTTTTGGTGCTTGTCTGATCCATTGGTGAGACAGTTACACTTCCTTTAACATCTTTTTTTTTTTTTGCAGGGGGAGGTGGGGTGTGTGTTAAAAGTTACTTACTTGATTTAGCTGTAGTGTGAAAGTTGACTGTTGGTTATGTTTAGAAGAGGTTGATAATCACCAGAAGGGCTTTAACGTGAATTACTGTTGTATTTTTTTATCCCCAGAGTATAGCTATCAACATGAAGGATTCAAAAGGGGCAAAGCTAATCAGAGAGGTAGGTCTGGATAGCATGCGAACTGTGCCTATTTATAATTGTTTTGATCCTGAGTAATAAAGAATAAACTCTGCATTTCAGTTATTAATTTGGTATCTGATAATTAAAAATATGTATGTGTGCAGTAAATGTGTTAATTTACAGTATATAGCCTCTGTACTCTGTGCTTTTGGACTCAGTGTTCAGTGTAATTTCAGATGGTTTTAGATATAAAATTTACATGAAAATACCATCAGAAGCTTCAAATGAAATAGTGAGGAAAAGGTCTACCAGCCTAGTGTATACATATAGGAAATGAGCTATATGACCTCTGTTACAGTAACTGTACTAAATGATTTTAAAATGAAAAGTGATTTATAAAATCATCTCTAAGGTAGTGGAAGTGTGAAGGGTAAAGATGTGTTCTTTCTCCCCCCTTTTTCTCAAGCTAGGTGCAGATAAAGGTGATGCTTGTTCTGTAAACCACTGTCAAGTCTTGGGAAGTTGATATGATGCTGATAATATAACTATGTCTAGTTGATTTAGGATTTTGACAGTCTAACAGCCTAGTGCTTTCATTTTATTGTTGCTGTATTTGATCTTGTTGTACTACTTGATTAGAAAGATTCAAGCTGGACTGATCTGATGAAGTCAATGAGCAGTATATAAAGAGGGGATACTGGGCTCTGTTATGTGCAGGTTTTTGAACGTTACAGTGTATTCATGACTTCAGTTGCTGGGCATCTTTGAGAAATACAGCCCTGCAGGTCAAACTTTTAATACTTGTTTCTTTTTTTCTGTATTTGAGTTAAGAATACAAGGGTCTTCTAAAGGTGATCTGTTTTTCCATTGAAAAATTAAAGCATCACATTTCACATTCTGTGAAGCTTGTGCTTTGTCATACCTTTATTGAGAAACATAAGACTTGCTACTTGTTAGTACTATGGTTTTAGCCCTGCAGCACTAGCACATCTAAGAGGGTGAGCTGGCTTCTGTTACTGTTTGTTTCAATATCAGTTCCAATCACTTTTTCTCAGTGAGACAGTGTGACCTGGAATAAGTGGAATTTGTCTGGTAGTATTTTTGTTGGGAATATTGCATGAAATGGAAATAGATTAAGTTGTCTGATACTTTTGGCCTTTTTTCTTCCCCATCAGCTATGTAAAAGGCACTCATATGGAAATCTTTGGAGTCTATAAATAGCCAAGGATCCTGCAGCACCTTTTCTCTTTGCAGAACAGAACCATTTATCATTGATTTGTTATGAAGCTGTATGTTTATCTTAAGGTTTTGGAAACAACCACTGTCATTTGGAATAATTTTGCATGGTATAACACAGATGTGTTTTTGGATAAACTAGTCATGTTCTAAATAAGGGCCATAAAAATTGTTTGTCTCCTAAGACAACTAGCTTGTGTTTTGACCTTCAAAACTGGTGAAATAAAGTACTCTACACAAAATGTCCACTGATTCCATGTGTGTGGGCTGGACCTGTTTGAAGAGTTAAAGGCAGCTGGGCCTATGAGTTGGGATGAGCTGGAGAAAAGATGGCTTCAGCGTAAGCTTCTTATGGGACTGCCAGTATTTGTGGTTAAGAAGTTCCGTTTTTCTCATCTTGATGTTTGTGCAGGAAGATTACTGGTTGAATCTGGTTTTAAATGTATAGCTTTCTGCCTGCAGTATGGAGAACGTTTTCATGGTCTATGGAGTTGATTGGCTGGTGACTTAAGGTTTCGCAATATAACATTTTTGTTTGAGGCTCGGGTGCCTGGTTGAGTTCAAATCCCACATAATTTTTAAATCAAAGCAGCAACTTTCTTCTCCTTGATTTGTTATGAAAGAGCAGCATCCTCTCTGTCAGCTCAGTGATAGGCTTCCCACCTTTTTCCTGCTGGTAAGATCTCTTGTACTACTGTAATGTGGAGCTGTCATGTTGCTGAAGATAGGATAGCTGGCACCAAGAGTACTTAGAGCTTCAGACAAATGGTTCCTGCCAGTGCTAATGTTAATTTTTCCCTTAGCTTGATGTCACTGAGATAGTCAAGCATGTATGAGAATTCCCAAGATGTGATGTTTTGGAATTTCCAGGGGGAGAACTAATTCTGCTAAATATTTACCATACTAGCTGTGGAAATGAGATCTCCTGTGACAAAGTAATTTCTTACAGTTTTTATCCTTTATTAAAGTTGCTTTCATAACCTTTACAGCTTTCTGTTTCTTCAGTCAATGGTATTCCTATCTGTGATATAGCAACATTATGTACTGAAGTGATGAGACATTACTGAAATGTGACTCTGCTTTGTGGAGTTGTTCATAATTCTGCTTGATTTAGTGTGACAGTTTTTGGAAGTATTTGTTGCTGAAGTCTTGACGTTCCATTATTGCATCTCAAATGGAACTAGAATATAACTGCTGTTTGGAGTTTTGTCGAAGAATATGTAAGGGGAAGTTATCTATCACAGGCTTTTGTTTTCCATTGTGTCCTGGTAACATCAGGACAGATATGTATAAAACTAAGTGTTCAGCAATGTATTTGTTACTGTTGTCTGTAAAGAAGTTGATGGCAAGAAGAAATTCAGGTTTGTGACAGTGGTTACTCATACATAAATAGAAATTGTGTCCTGAGTCTAAGCCCTAGAAAAGAAAATGTAGTAGGCTTATAATTTTTTTTATCAAGAAAGGTGGCATGGTTAGAATAAATTTTGTTTCCTCCTCCTTATAAATTCCATACAGGTAGAAGGAAGAGGGCAAATCTCACAATCTAGAATCATATTAAAAACAAAGGAGTAGAGTGTCTTCAGGTATATGATAAAAGCACAGCCTTGATAATTCAGCCAGTAGTATCAAGAGAGCTGAAGAAATCTGTTAATCAGGAGTCCTGGCTGCTTTTCTTCCTTTGGCATAGCATTACAAAATACTTGTCCAAGGGTCTGCTCTTTCATAATTACATCATTCCCACAAAATTATTCTTTGGTCTAATTTTTTTGCGTTTCTTTATTCTGTGTCACTTGAGCCCTGTCTTCCTTTCTAATGCTTTTGGTTCACTGTTAACTGCCTTCCAAATATTTGTATGTCTTCCTGAATGAAAATTATTTTTTCTCTTCAGTGATGGTATGTGCACCAGTCCCATGCTCTGACATCCTTTTGTTGCAATATGACTCAACATCTCTTCAGAGCATTATTCAGCAGTTATTGTCAGAAGCTCATTTTAAGAACCTTGAGGATACCTTTGTTCTGAGTATTTAGCCTTAACAATTAACTCTTCTATTTTTTCATGGAGAACTAGGAGAATTCAGTTGTCTGGGAGCTGATGGCACTCCTTCCCTTCCGTTACCTTTAGCTGATAGGTCTGTGTGTCTCATGCATGCTCTCTCACTTGATAAAGCAAACTATTTGCACACATTCACACATAATATATGTATATATGTACACACAGAAATATGTGTGTGTATATATATGTTTTTATGTGTGTATGGACATTCTTCTCTGCATGGAGTTTTTGCAAAAAAAAACCCATCCCGCCAAAAAAACTCCAAACAAAACTTCCAAAAGGTATGAATAGTTTGCTTTATCAAGTTAGGTGCATCATTATTTGCTGTTGTTGTTCAATTTAATGACTAATTTGGCATGCCTTATGCCTTTTCTTTCCTGAGGCATAGATGTTGAGCTTATCAGTGTCCTGTTTAGAATACATAGTATTCCAACTCAGGTCTGTGTTGTATTGCTGTGGTAGTAGAGGTTAAAATACAAGTGATATGTTCAGAGGACTTGTAAGACAAAGTGTGAAGGTTCAGTTGACAGTGGACTTAAAACCCCATTGACACTGAAAATCCCTTTGAATGTTAAGAACATACAGTTCATTTGGATTGGAGTCTGAATCCAGTTCTTCACAATGGCAGAGCCCTGGGGACCTGTGCTTAGTTCAGTGAGCATCAAAAAGAGTGCTATACACAGACTGCTGCCTTGATGATTAAAGACTATTTCCAAGTGCTGTGAAAACTTTAGTGGCAGAGCTTACGCAGCACTTGTAGGATGTCTTGAAAAATTCATGCTCTTTGAAACACAGCAATGCTTATTAAGAATGTGGAGACTGTTTCTCATTTTACTATAGTTCTCCAGGTTCTTGGCATAGCCACTCTAAAAATACTTCATAACATACTTTAAAATGCACCTTTACTGTATGCTGAACTTAGTTTCTGTAAAAGTTATTAGTGTCTCTTCCATGCATTTAATTAAACCATTCAAGTTGTGTGCTGCCTTATCTGAATAAGAATCAGTTTCTGTCTTTCCTGTGAAATACTTGCTGGCTTGGCACCTTCTTTGGCTTAAATTTAGCTGAACAGCTTATGTGCTAGAAAAAAAATACTTGTGATTGCTATTATGATGACAACAGTTTATAGAAGCTGGTCTAATATACTGTATGTACTAATCAGACAGGGACATGGTAGTTTCAGAGAGAGTGATTCTAATCTGCTGCAAATAGCACTGAGAAACAAAATGTTTTAGGTTATGCTTAAAAATGTGTGCACAAACATGTACCTGTTGGAATAGTTTCTTAAATTCCTGGGCGGGGTGGGGGGTGGGGAACAACAAAGCAGAAAACCTATATCTCCCTCAAGTCATGCATCTTTCTCTTAACATGTAGTTCTCTTGCTTCAGGAGTTCTTAATTAGTATTAGTCTTATTGAAACATCTCTATGTATATCCATTTTGTAACTTTTATAAGCAAAAAGAGATGTAATTTGAAGCCCACTGAAGTTATATGTTAATCTTCAGCTTCAGTAGATTTTTGGACTAGGTCATTATTTAGATGTGATGGAGAAAGTCACATTGCAGAGTTTGACAGCACTATTCTAACTGAGGTGGTTTTAAGATGTTTGTTTTAACTCAATACAATTTTTAGGCTCCCTATTCTGCCTCTACATACAGGAAATGAGCTATATGGCCTCTGTTACAGTAATCAATGATTTTGAAAAACAACTTATAAAATAACTTTTAAGGTAGAGAAAGTGTGAAGGATAAAGATGCATTCTTTCTTCCCCCTTTTTCTCAAGCTAAGTGTAGATAAAGAGGTAATGCTTATTCTGTAAACTATTGTCAAGTCCTGGGAAGTTGATATGATGCTGATAATATAATTGTATTATAATTGTATCTAATTGCTTTAGGATTTTGACAGTTGTCTTTCTAGATACGCAGCATCTCTAACATGTAGTTTGCAGACATTCACAGTGTAACAGGCCAAAAAATTTCTCTCTAGGTTTGTAAGTTTTCTTTTGTCAAAGACTGGAGTAATTTTGATTAATGAGATTTTAAAATTAAGTTACACAAAGAATTTATTGAACTTTTGGAATCTCATTAATAAATCTTACTTATCCTTTTCTTTTCTAAAGCTTGCAGCAGTGTCTGATGTTTTTGTGGAAAACTACATCCCTGGGAAGCTGGCTGAAATGGGTCTAGGTTATGAAGACATTAAAAAGATTGCTCCTCATGTAGTGTACTGTTCAATAACAGGTATTTTAATTTCAATTACTTGTGCTCATTACTTCCTTTATTCCAGTCAACTTGTTGTAGAAGTCATGCAGTTCTATAGGAGAATATTACTTTGATGTCAATTAAGATAAATTGAAAGACTAAGTGAGTTTGACTGTTCAATTTAAAAACAGGTATAGAAAATTTGAGGCAACAACCAGTTTCACTGTGGCATTACCATGCCAGCCTGGCATGTTCCTATTGACTTCAAAGGAGCCAGAATTGGCTGGGCTCCTTGGATTTTGCTTTGAACTAGTCAAAACCTGAGAATTTTACTCCTCCTGCCCTGTCTGTAAGCACCATTCCATTTTCCCCCCCCCCCCCCCAATTTTACTGTATCAGTTTACAGTCAGTTTACATATTGCGGGTTTCCAGTCTGGTGATCTCAGTGTTCTTTACTGCTCTGAAGCATCTCCAGAATTGTGTGCTTATCTGTTTATGGAAGTTTTACATTACTTTGCTACAGGCTGTTGCCTGGTAACTGAAATGGTAGGAGAGTTGAGGTTACTTTATAAATGCTGGGAAGAATGAAAAGAAAGTAGGCATATGAATATCAGGAACTGCATACTTGTTAAAAATAATTTTAAGTCTGAAAAATTGCTTAAAAAAAGCCCCCGCACAACAAAATACCCCTAAAAATCTTATCAAGTGCTAAAATTAAAGGATTTGTGCATGTAAAGCCTACTGTTAAAATATGATCATGTTAAACTAGAGGTATTTTTAGACTGGTTTAAAATCTTTGTTACAAACCTGTTAGGCCTCTGAATTTCTGAAGAATAAATGTCTTGGGCTTTTTAGTTACTGAATATTGATGTAATTTAATAGGAATCAAATAGCTTTTTCTAGTCTGTTTTGATGTATTATGTTTGTGGCAAGTGTCTGAAGATGACAAGAACAGAAAGGCATTTATGTTCAGGGCTTGCTGAGACTCTCTTTAAGTACATTCTTAGGTTGGTCAGTGGCTAGTTTCCACAATGATTTTCCCATTTGCTTGTACATATCACAGCTGGAATTTGTCGAGTGTTTTTTTGCACTTTTTTTAGTTGCTGTACCCATAATTGATGAAAGAATAAAAATTAAATCCAAGCTACAATTTACATGAGGTAGCCTGGCCTTTGAGTTGGTAAATCTGTTTTTCCATTCATAGTACATGTCAGTAGTTGAGTGCTTTTGTGTTTTACTAATAATAGACAAAAACCTTACCTGAAGTGAGGGCCTAAGAAAAGATACTCTCTCATTTCACTGAATCATAGAATTGTTTAGGTGGAAAGGACCTCTTGAGACCACCTAGCCTAACCCCCCTATTCAAGCAGGGTCAGCTACTGCAGGTTTCCCAGGACTGTCCAGCTGAGTTTTGAGTACTTCCACAGGTACTCTGGACAACCTTTTGCGGTGTCTGATCACCCTCACAGTAAAAAAGTTTTCCCATTGTTCAGGAAAGCTTGCTCATTGCCTCTCATTCTCAGTGGGTGCTACTGAGAAGAGTCTGGCTTTCTCTTGCTCATTCCCTCCCACCTGGGTATTTATTTATAGCTGAGATCCCCCTGAGCTTTCTCTTGTTTAGGCTGAAGAGTCTCACCTGTCTTGCCCTCTCATGTCAGGGCCTCTAGTCTCTCAGTTGTCTTTGTGGCTCTGTGCTAAACTTGCTCCAGTAAGTCTGTATCTGTCTTGTACTGGAGAGCCCAGAACTGGACACAGTACTCCAGATGTGGCCTCACCAGTGCTTAGTAGAGGGGAAGGATCTCTTAGCTCAACTTGCTGGCAACACTCTTCCTAATGCATCTCAAAATACTGGTGGCCTCCTTTGCTCCAAGGATGCATACTTCTGTGTATTCTCTTTGCTCCCTAAGTTCCTCCACTGAGGGTAAGTCTTCCTTGCTGCAGACTTTCCCTCTAGTCACAAGGATCTAGGACTCCTAAGGGCTGTCTTTCCTGGTAAATACTGAGGCAAAGGTGGTATCAAATACCTCTGCTTTCTCCATGTCCTTTGTCACCAGTTTCCCTGCCCCATTCTGCAGTAGGTATGTGGCTTCCCCAGTCTTTTTCTGATGCTAATTTGCTTGCAGAATGTTTTCTTGTTGCTCTTTTGTGTCTTTTTTGAAATTCAGCTCCAGGTCAGCCTTGACCTTCCTAACCATATGCTTGCACAATCAAACAACAGCTCTATGCTCCTTCTCTGTCACTTGCCTCTCCTTCCACCTCTTGCAGACACTTTCATCTTACTGTCAAAACAGGTTGGACAAAGATCATACAATTTTGCTGTTTAAAGCTTTGTGTAACGTGTAGTTTGCAGTTATGTTATACATAATGAAACCCACATGAACATTAAAAAATATTTAAATACATAACTAAAGATTCTTTTTAAAATTTATTCATGGGCTAGGTTTGTTTGAGGTTGAAGGTGTTTGGGAGGTAAGTGCTGAGTGATGTTTGTCAGGCACCTATAAAACAACTTGGGATCTTAAATTATGGTTGCTTAAGTCTTGGACGTCTAACAGGTGACAAGGAACATCTATTTAAGGTCGGTACATCTTCTAAGAATAAAGACCTAAAATATCTTATACCCTTAAAAATAAGACAAAACCTTAATCTAAGCATATTAAAAGAAGCAACTGGACTAGGACCAAATGTATATCTGTTACACAGGGCATGATGGTGATACTTAGGCAGTAAGTTATTTGGTTTATTTTTTTTGGCACAATCAGGTAGAAAACTGGTTTAAGAAGAAAGAATTCCTGGTTGATTTATAAAAGCTCTGTTACCTAATTCTAAATATTACAATTCAAAACTTTTGTGGTATGGTTGACTCTACATGCTCAAATATATTTTTTTCTTGCAAAGGGGGATGGGAAGAGACTAGAAGAGATTCGATGTACGATGTTTAGCTTTAAAATAAAAAAACAGTGGAAAGATGATCAAATTAAAATACTTGCTGATAAAAATTGCATAGATTAGCAGCTCAGATTAAGATGAATGCCTATTGAAAGAGGCGAAGAGAACTCTGTCTCTTCCCCCTTCCCCCCCATCACAAATAAGGCCAGACAAACAGCAAAAGAGGTTGGTAAAAGCGTTAAAACATCTTTATGGTAGCGAAGTTATGTACATGACTATTATGGGGAAGGTTAGGGAGTTTCCATACTGGAGCCATTTTCTGCAAGGGATCAGTTTGAGATAGTTTAATCTGAATATCTGATATAAAAGGCTTTTAGAACAAATTGGTAAATTAATATTTATAAATCACCTGTAGCAGAATATCTGAGCAAAGTGAACTTTTGGTCTGATCCTTTGTTGTTATTAAGGCATGTCATAACATTGCCAGTGAAAACACACACGCAAAAAACCCTGGACATGTCAAGCTGTTCGTGTAAACATAGGAATTAATTAACTTTTGTGAAGCAAACAGTGGACCTAATTGGCAATCCTTTGCTTTTGTTCCTTGCTATTCATGGTGTTCAAGTGCTTTTCTTGCCTGCCTTTCTTTTCTTCTGGGTTCTTGGACGTGGAGGCCTATGAAAAACAGTGGGACTCTGGGCACAGAAATTTGCCTGTAAGCAGTGTCTCAGATGTTTTAACAGTAGACATTGCAATATTTGACCCAAACCCCAGGTTCGCATAAATTGAGGCATCTGAGTTGGACGGCTGTTTTTGTGAGAGATTGGCGCAGAAAGCAGGTAACTGCATTCTGGAAGGCTATCAAGAAGCGCTCAGTTTCCCTGATGCGAGGCAAGAGCTATGCTTGTGACAATGTGAGAAGATAAGGATTGGTAATGAAGTGGAATGAACTGAGACATGCTGAATCTAGTAGGTTCCAGAGAGCTCAGATGTAATCTTTCAGATAGAAAGGTACTGAAAATGCAAACTAGGATTTTTTGGTAATGCCATAGAAAGTTATGTGTATATAGGATGCCTAGCTAGTGCTATGGAAAATATGAGTTAAGGAAGATCCAAAGAGAAGTATTTTGTCAGATGTTTGTCAAATTTGTTCTGGCCTAGAACATTGAATTAAATGGACTAGTTGACTTCCCAAATGTTGAAAATTGAGACAGATTATCTTGGATACAGCAAGCCCTTTTACATCTAAACAGTATTACATTTTAGATGTGAGAATACGTAGGCACAGACATTTTGGCATAATGCTTGATAATAAATAAGTGACCAAGAAATAAACATACCCAGAGTGTCACAATCAGTGTTTTTCAAACTTTAATTTTTTTGTTTTTCTAGTTTTTTCTTGTTAGTATACATGCTGAAGACATAACCGATTCATTTAATAAATTACAAATAATTACTGGACACTACTTCCCTTATCTATTTAGTTAACTCATAATGAGACTGGATATCATCTGGAATGTTTTTGTTTCTTATTTTTGGAACCATATTACTTTTCAAGTTTAAAGTTCATAGGTATGGAATGCAATCAATAAACAAGGAACTTGAAGGAATTGGTTTCACCCTACAGCATAACTTGCATAGCAGCTGTGATCAAGATGTCTTTAAGTTTCTTGAATTTTTTTCTCGTTCAATTATTGAATGCAAGTGTAAGTAAATCAAATTGGATATTAAAACTTTTTTAAATTAGGGGCCATCCAAAAATATGGTAAGTAATTTTCTGACATTAGGCTGTACTGTATCCTTCCTTTGTGCTACTCCAGAGAGCGTGCTCAAATAGTTGTCATTCTTGTTGTTATTGTGGTTATTACACTTTGAAAGAGTGGTGCTTTCACTTTTAAAAACTGTTATTTGTAACAATATTTGTGTGAAAATATGGGGTTTGCATTTGTCTTCAGACCTCAGAGTCACTAACTGATAGTCAGCACTAACTGACAGCCTTTTCTTCTTAAGGGCTCACCTTAAGTCACTGGCTGGTTCAGCACCTGCTGGCTGCATTTGGTGTTTGTGGTTACAGTGATAGTAGCCATTACCTGGTTATGGGTTAGGTTACTTGCCAGATCCTTGAAGTGGTTCAGATGCTGAATGAGTGT